ACGTTGCATTACAGAATGACTGAAACCACAATGGCAAGAATGACTACATCAGAGCCTAGCAACCTAGTAGCCAGGCTGGTCGACCACCAGCACAGCATGGTCGACCGCCTGCCAGCGTTGCATAGAGGAGCCGCGCCAATGCTGCAGAAAGGCGGCCTACCAACAGGGCAGGTCGACGGCGTGCCAATGCTGCAGCAAAGAGGCCGTCGAGCATTGCACCCGTGGATAACAATTGCGCGCACGACAGCAACGCGCACGCTCGCAGGTGCTCGCAGACGATTGGCCCGACATGCACCGTCACATGTCCGTCGGCTGTTATCTGCGCTTGATCAGCCACATCGATCTCGGGATGCCAGCCCGATGTCCCTTTTGCCATTGCAACCTCGACGACGTTCGAGTGCCTCCGCAGAACCTCCCCGAGCATGTTACCTGGTCGATCATTTCGACCACCCAGCGTCCTGGTCGATGGCCCCCTCCTCGTCGACCACCACTCCGTCGGAGAGCACCCTGGTCGACGGACCCATCCATCAACCAGGTTAGTCAGCTGCAGTCGTCGAGCTCCCCTCGTCGACAGCTCCGGCTTAGTGTCAGTCCTGCTTAGGTCGACGACCACCTCATCGACCTGCCCCTTTGAAGTAGGCAGTCGGCTCCTTGTCGACGGCATCGCCGTAGCGGTCCCTTGCAGCTCGACGAAACCCATCGAGCTGCTCGCCCAGGCTGGTGTCGACCACTGCGTACAGTCGGCTGCTTCTCCCGTGCACCCGACCAGGAAGTCAGTGTCACCCAAGCGAAGGCGGGGCCAACAATCCATTCCCGTCAACACGAGAAGCAAGTGGGTGCGAGAGAGGCAGGTGAGTTGCCGGGAGGGGCGGGAGAGGCATGTGGGCAAGGGGGAGCAAGAAGTGGGTGGGCAGGTGAATGCGGGCTAGGGGAAGGGAAGAAACGAGGTGTCATGGAGGACAGCTGAGAGAAAGTGGTGGTTTGGGGAAAAGGGCGAGAGTGCGAGGTGTTTAGAGGGAGGGGCGAGAGAATGAGGTAGTTGGGGAGCGGGGCGAGAGAATGGTGGATGGGCTGAATAGAAAGCCAATCCTCTTAGTATATCTCAACGGACAAACTTCGCCTTCTAAAAAGGCACTTCGCGACAAGATTTGCATCGAGGCTCTTGAAAAATATAAGGGCCAGTGGTTGGAGAGGTTTTCATGGCTGATCTTGTTGAGAACTGCTGATGGTCTCCCTGCTTTCAAAGCACTGTCTGTTCAAAACACGCTAGCTACCCTGGACGGTGCGAGAGAGGCGAAAAGGGCGCTAAGGACGCACTGACATAGGCGTTCAAGAGGCACGCAACCACAAACAAGCACAAGGCCGCGATCGGTAGCCAAGAAAAACTACTCGCTGATGCAAGCAAGCAACCCTGGGTCAACGGCGACAACCTGGCTCGTGACATCGAGAAGGAGCGAGCCATCGCGATGCTCGAGTCTTTCCTCTTTGTCACCAAGCACGATGCACCCATAGAGTTGTGGGTGCAACTCGTTCGCTACCTTGCGTCGAAGAAGGTTGCTGGTTTTCTTGCGAAAGGCTATGGAACCTACTATACCACGTGAGTATCCACTAGAGTACCACCTGTCGTGTTTCTCATGCGCCACAGATATAGGTTCGAGCAACTGGCGCAGTCAATGGCCGCGTGGTTGCACACAACGCAGTTCCAGCACATCCCCTCAAGCCCTTATATCGGAGTTACATGCGACGAGAGCACGGACTGGTGTCGCGGAAAGCATATGATAATTTTTGCGACCTTCATCCGCGTGAGAAGTGGCTCGTCAAGGAGTTCCTTGCTCTGCTTACTGTAGAGAAGTGTGATGGAGCGTCTTTGCTCTCAGTTTCCCTATCCCACATGCATGCAGTAGGCATTGACCTCGGCAGGATCGCCGGGATCAGCATTGATGGCACGAAGGTCATGATGGGTAGCAAGAAAGGTCTTCTGGTGCGACTCTGCCTCCGCATACCTCATCTCGTCTCAAGCCACTGCATCGCCCACTTGTGCGATCACGGCAGCATGTTGTCTATATTGTGAGAACCATATGAACCCTTTATCATTACTAGCGGTGCCTGTTTGTGTTTTGACTGCAGGGAGGCGCTCGCAGCAAAGGATGCAGCAGAACTTCGACATGGTGGACTCGTTGATCTGTAAAGTCGCAGAGCGTTTGGGTCGTTCAAACCCTTGGCACCAGAGGTTTCTTGCACTGCAGGAAGTATTTACGGCAACGAACCTGCAGCTCCAAGGGATTTACAACGTCCGTTGGCTCTCCAGGGGTGATGCTGTCCGGCGCCTTGTTGAGGTCTTCACCGATGTCATTGTCATGCTTTTTGGGTGGGACAGGTCTCTGTATGAGCTCACCATCAGCTACCGCTTTCACTTCCTACCATTGTTCCTTGCAGACGTGCTTGAGTAGCTTAACGTCTTGAACAAGATGTTCTAGAAGCAAGAGGTGAGCATGGTTCTTTGCTTCTCTGTTTATGTGTCTACGTCACATCTCGTCTTGCCTATTTATCGTGTCTTTGCTTCTCTATTTGTCTGAAGATGCCTTACTCTTGACAGCTTCATGCTTAAGTATTTGTCTGTGTGTATGCTAATGTCTTCTTTGTTCTCGTAACCCGGTGCATTCCTTCTCTCTGCCCATGACAGCTTAAATTTGCAGGGGTCCATGCACAGATCAGGAGAACAATCTCTTACCTAGAGACTCGCTACGTAGACTGTGGCGACGATTTCGGAGGCGAAATTAGCGAGCGTCTGTCCCCGTTCATCATGAAGCACGGGCCAGACGGTGGTTGCCCCCGCGTGACGATGTAGGGAGTGGACTCGTACGGTCAGTCGACAACACACGAATTCATTCCGCACGAAAACTCCAGCGAGGACTTCCCAACCGTGGGAAGTCACGACGCTTGTGTCGACCTCTGCACCTTGTTCGTCGAGACACTCGTGCGCAACCTCAGCAAGAGATTCGAAAACTTGGATTCACTTTCTGGAGTAAGACTCTTTACTCCGGACGAGTGGCTGTTAGGGAGGGTGGAGCGCAACAACCAGTGTCTCGAGTGGCTCATGTCACTCATCTCCCTGTTCAGGGCACAGGACAAGGACTGCATCCTTCCAGGTATGCGCCGTCCAGGCATGTTTGTGTTCTCCGTCTAGCTCTTGTTTGCCTGTTTTTATGTCTTGTACTTACGGTTTTGCCAGACCATCTAATGCATTTTCTCCATTCCCTTCTGTCTTGTCTGGCAGGGATCGACAAGTGTCGGGCCATCAAAGAACTGCGTTTATTCTGCCCTATCCTGGCAGGTGCCCCGAGGAACGAGCGCACCTTCCATGCTGGGCTGACGGTGATGCTGAAGACGAGCAACTGGACGTCGAGCTACCCCAACCTGTTGCCTCTCTGGGTGGCAGTCGTCGTGCTGCCTTTTAGTACGGTGGAGTGTGAGCGTGGGTTTTCCCGCCATAATATCATCAAGTCGTGGCAGCGGGGGAGTCTCAAGGATGCCCGCCTTGAGGATCTCATCTCCGTGTCCCTCCATAACTACGAGCCTGACTACAACGAGGTTATGCAGATCTGGCGCAACTACAAGAAGTGCCGACCCTTTGGCAATGTTGGAGCAGCACCAGCAGTAGAAGGGGAGGGCAATGGCAAGGGAAAGGAGGCGGATGAGGAATGGGAAGAAGCAAATGATCTTGGCAGTCTTACTGGTGATGATCATGACCACCGATTTTGGTAATGATGCATGACCACATGTTAATTTTGCAATGGTTTAGGGAGCTGCATGGGATTTAAGCTTTAAATTAAAGACATACATATATCAAGGTTTGCGGCAGGCCCCTAGATTCGTTTTGAGGCACTCTGATCGATCAGTGTACACCCCTTCTGGAACTCTGTCTGTCAGAGGTGTCCTAAAGTTTTAGCCTGAAAATTCAGACAAGCACAACTTTTTTTGTCTGAACTGTCAGAGTTACCTTAAAAATTTAGTAGTTTCGTAAAAGCATAGTAATAATAGCATTGAAGCTGATTACAGCATACCAACGCAACTGCGCGGTGCGTGATTGATGGTGCTACTGTACTCTGATTGGTCATTCTTCAAAAGTTAGGAAAACTGAGCAGTCAGGGTCGAGGTGTCGGCATCAGACAATGGCCTCGTGCAAGTGCCAAGTGTGGCAAGCTCACAATCAGCTGACCTGGCAGCAGGCACGGTATCGCTCGGCACTTTTCTGGGCACGCTGGCAGCAGCAAGAGTTTTCAACAGTTTACACCGTATGGGCGCGGAATATTTTCTGTTAAAGTAATTGCTTCAGTTTGGCAAGGGGAAATGATGTGCGGTTCTGCTGAAGTACGAGACTCATATGTGACAAGGCTTTCGTTTGCATCAGTTCGCTTTTCGCCATGTGCAATTCGCTAAAATCGTTTTGGCCATGTGCGATTGGCTATCTAGTTTCACAATTAAAGGGTCATTATAAGCCCCTAACGAACTGAACACTCGTGATCGTGTCGAAGAAGTAGTGTATTCTGGTGCCCCTAGTCGAGCAGTTTTCTCCGGAGGAAATCGTTACACGTGGCCCGTACACACGTGGGTGTATCGAGAGGAACTTTCGAGGAAGTTTCGTCCCAATAACCTTTCATTCAGGCTGGCGCAAACCCCTGTATTACCGGTTTCAGAGTGCACCCCCGATACAAGTCTGAGGCTCAGCATATACTACTATGACTAGTCTGAAATTTCAGACAACTCTGAAACATCAGACGGTGCATAAAAAAATTCTTTGAGTTCAGACTAGGTACAAAAAAAAAGTCTGAACGGACTCTGAATCAGACTCCAAAGTCTGATATCTAGGGCCCTGGTTTGCGGACATTGATCCATCAGCCTTTTTTTTTTAAATGTAACACTGAACTTTCTGGTTTTTTTTTTTTAAGACACTGTCAATCAGCCTTTCTCCTCAGGGAGACCGTGATGGATCAGGGCCCCTAAAAGTGAATCTGGGGCCCTGCTACCAACCAATCCTCACACTGTATCTGGTAGGGTTGTTGCACTTGCACACATAATCTAAGGCCAAGGGTGTACATAAACCCGGCTCTTCTCAAGTCGGTCAACAACCATGTTGTCTCATCGAGTGTGCGGTTGAACTTCTCGGGCCTCCACGTGAAGGCCTCCATGGAGGCGTGGTGGTAGTGCACCTCCACAAACAGCTCGTCCACGATGGCAGGCATGTGGGGGATGGCCAACCACTCGTGCAGCACCGCCCACTCCGCCCCCTCTATGTCCATCTTTATGATCACCGTGTCCTCCTCTGTCAATTTCAGATCATCTAACAGCCATCGAGTCACGTTCATAGTGTTCTGTGCGGGGGGAAGGGGGGGTTGGATCGGGCGGGGATGTGGGGGAGAGGCAAGGAGGACGATGGGATTAGGAAACGTGGGGTTGGTGGTAATGAACCTCGACAAAGAGCTCGTCCACGATGGCGGGCATGCGATGCGCGGGATGGCCAGCCACTCGTGCAGCACCGCCCACTCCGCCTGTCCATCTTCACTATCACTGAGTCGTCTTCTTTCAGTTGCAGTTCGTCCAACAGCCATCTCGTCACGTTCACCATGTTCTGGGAGGGGAGAGAAGGGAGGGGGGTTGATGGGGGAGGGGGGAGGGGGGGGGGGGAGTGCAGGAGGGGGAGGGGGTCAGTTGCAGCTCGTCCAGCAGCCACTGGGTCACGTTCACTGTGTTTTGTGGAAGAGGGAGGGGATGGGGGGAGGTGGAAAAACGAGGAAGATGGGAAAGGGTAGGCGGGCAGAGGAAGGGAACGGAAGAAGCGGGAGGAAATAAATAAGGAGAGCCATGGTCGCAGTGGGTCCCCCATGCAGCTCCCTCAGTTGGTCCCAGTTACTCACGCTCAGTGTGTTCTGCGAGGAGAGAGAGAGAGAGAGGGAGGAGGCAGGGAGGGAGCGGGCAGAGAGGTAAGGGGCAGAGAGGGAGAGGGCAGAGTGGGCGGGCAGTAAGGAGAGGGTTAGTCACCACTGCTACTGGAGCCTTCCTCCCTCGGTTGCTTTCCTCGTCCTAGATTCACCTAGTCAAGTTTAGTGCGTTTTGGGAGGGGACAAAGAGGGGGGGGGGGGGGGGGGGGGGGGGGGGAGAAGAGGAAATGCAGGAGTGCCCTCTGTGTTCACATCGCTGCAATTTTTACATTTTTCCGGGTGTAGCATAGCGTACCTCTTTTGGGTTGTCTTGGGAAGAAATGAAGAAGTTGTAGGGGTGGATGCGTTGCATCAGCCATGCAGGGAAGCCTGCAGGGCCCCTGCCGAATGGACGCAGGCGAGATTGCGAGTCGATCTCATTGGCTGGTACCTGAAACGGTTAAGAGCAGTACACAAACAGCAACAAGTGGCTGGGAAGGATATGTGTGGCATGGAGAAATGAACATCGGGTAATGGCTTCAGAGCTTAGTCCTGGGCATCTTTATTGGAAGAAAGAAGAAAATCTTGTAAGGGGAAAAAATGGTAGGTCGGAGAAGAAAGGGAGAAAAGGACAGGGAGAAAGGGGTAAGGTTCGTGGAGAAGAGGTGACGGGGTTTATTATAAGACACTTCTTGAGCTGCCCAGCCAAGTGTTTTTCTAGCGTACACCCCATGTCCCGTAAGCATAGAGGTATGTACACTAGTGGGGACATGCTAGCACGGCATGAACTTCCACTCAGTAACTCCTTCATTCTCTGTCTTCCGCACCCTCTCCTTCCCAACTCCCTCCAATGTTCACATTCTTCTCCCATATGTGTGTGTTGATGTAAGGATTTACGCACCTCAAGGGGAGGTGTAGATGGCTTCTGGAACAGGTCAGTTTGCACTTCCACCGCATGAATCTCGGTGAAATCGAGGGGGTACATTCGAAGGAACCAGGTGACACTTGTCTCAAACTCATTAGCTCCAAGGTCTATGAGCACCCTCCGTTTCCTGCGAAATCGCGGAAGTTGGGGGAACGAAAGAGGAGAAAGGGGTTTGATTCGTGGTAAGGAAAAACCTACCCTGTGTGAATATTGACGGGTGCATTTGAAGAACCTACAAGACACAATTGTTGCACGCCTAACACTCCAAAGTCCCTTAGCACCACACGTTCTGCGAGATACGAGATTTTAGGGCGAAGAATGAAAGAGACAGCATGCCTTTTCTATTTCGATGGTCTACTAAGGTTGCAAGCGCAAGCCCGACGAGATGACGTTTTTGAGGTAGATTACACAGACTATTTTTTCCGTTCAACGCGGATCTGAGATTCTAGATGATCATATCCGAGTTAACCCACTTCCTGCGAATGCGGAGATAAAAAGCGGGAGGACTGAACTGGGGAGGGGATATGAGAAGTTCGTTCTTGTCAGACTCCAAACATTCAATCGACCAACATTTCATCTGATCCTGGCGACGCATTTTCCCACCTGGTGTGCAAGGTGGGATCCATGTTGGCTCGTAGGAATGGTAAGATCTGCGTCTTGTCCTCCACGTTGTCCACGAAGCCCAGGGTCCACCCGCGGCGGAAGTTCAGGTGCGCGTCTAGCTCCTCTATAGGCAGCCCCGCTACAAGACACGGGGAAACGCGGGGCGTCCACTGCGCAATGATTGTGGGTGTTAGGCAAAGCCAGGGGAAGGGACGAGGCGGATGGCATGATATATGTTCAGTCGAGCATGATTGTATGCTGAATGCGTCGTGTGCGTTCGAAGTTGCATAGGTATGTCCAGTTGAACTGTTTGTGCTGGACCCTATCATAGCATAATATCGTCATCGGTCGAGAGAGGGTCCGAGAGGTACTATACGAAACCAGGGTGCACATTCAACGCGGCTCGGGATGAAATTTTGGGTGGGCAATTCGAGAAAAACGCGGTCGGCAAACGAGTGGAGATACAAAAGGCGAAATGCGGGGAGAAAATGGGGGGAAAGGAGAAGGGGGGAAGGGAGGAGAAGGGGGGGGGGGAAGGGGGGGTTGGATGTAACCGGTAGTGAACAACCTAGTAGTTCGCGAATTGTCGGAATGTTTTCAAATTCCGAAAGTACTACTACTGTACTAGGAACGACGACAGTAGTGATGTTCGCGCATTGTCTTTCCGCCAATCCGAAATTACACGAGGAGTTGACGAGTTGCATTTGGGATGTGGTAACTCTCGTGAGATTTTCTTACTCCGCGACCCGCGCAATATCTGCCAGGAACTGTAGTTTCGAGGCGATTAGTACCTTAGTAAACGCCCACGCGTCCTCAACACTGTCTCGCGGCGACAAGCTGCTATCACCGTCATTTTGCACTGCCGGAGTGACTCTGCTGGTTGATGTCCAATCAGAGCATGACTGAGTTGCGGCGCCGCCTCCGCCTCCGCCTGTGAGACTTAGCGCTAAGTCGCAGTCGCACGGCGCGCATCGTTGGGGAAGCTGAACGGCAACGAGCGCGATCGAGCATAAGAGGAGCAGCGTCGAGACTACAGACCAAGCGAGCGCCACGGGATACGGTATTAGCGACTCGACGTTCTTAAACGGCGATTTCAATGGCGGATAGTCGAACATGATGCTGGATGGGCTGCGTGACATGGTCATGGTAGTAAGGGCTAGCCTGATTCTAACGGGTATGGGAATCACGCCTAACAGGTGTTGAATGAAGAACTGTGACTGCACGACGCGAACTTACGAGCTCCCAACCTAGCCCGTACCCTTCTTTTGGCCACATCAGGGGGCACAGCGATGCTCGCAAGCGCGTCGTCAAACGAGCTTGGCATTCGAAGGATCACCTGTGGTTCGGAGTGCGTGCTTGAGGTCTAGCCTCGTCGTGACCGACGTTAATTTTCGCCAAGGCATCTGTTTCGTTGGCATTCTGGGGATGAATCTCGTCCACAGGATTTCGTCTGGGGCATTCTCGCCACATAATTTGGTGGGCTGGATATATCCGTACTTATCGCCCGAGCGATGCCGTGCATCTGATCTTCGGTGTAATTCGTTGCGTTACGGCGCAAAACGGTGAAGCTCAGTAACATTTTTCAGAGTGTACAACCGTCCAGAGCCACGGAATAACGAGCTGTACAGCTACGAGCTGGACAGCCCATCAGCAGCTGGACGGTATCAAGGGAGGGAAGGGAAGTTGCAGAGGTGGGTGAAGAACTCAGGGACGGCAATTGGTGAATGAAAAAAAGGGTGCATGAATCAAATCCCCATGACAACAGTGTTGGTCTGTTTATTGGCTGTTGTTGCGCACAATGTTACACGAGCCGTTTGTGACACGAGCCGTTTTATGTCAGAAATTGGTATTACAGTGAATCGTGGCACTCATAGAGTAGTTCACCCTTCAAAAAAGGTATATTGTAGATTTGCAAAGGTACACCCATTCTTCTGAAAATCCATGGACAACTGACTTCGTCACCAACACCTCTGGAATAGAGAAATCCAGTAGGTGTCAATCCACAGTGGTCCATCACACCACACTCCTCTCACCGCACCACAAACATTGATCCCCTCATGCTACTGCCTCAATTGCCCTCTCCTCAGCAGCATCCATGCCAGCTATTTCAAGAATTCGAAGCCGAGTCAATTCCTGGCAATGTGAAGGCACCGCACAAATATTCAGGACGAGAACAAGAATGGAGTGAGTTATATTGAACAAAAAGGAAAGCTACGTGCAAAATCAGTGGGAGAGAGGTGAGTGGCAGAAACAAAACAATCCGGAGTTAAGCACGACGGCCGGCATATAGATTGGAAACTGGCATCGCTGTAGCTGCTATGAAGTGGAACAGTGATGACGTGGCACCAGTTATTGCAACATGCAGTTGACAGGGAGGGAGAAAAGTGTGACAGTGATGAAAATGTGCTAACGGAATGCCATCAGGAGCAAGAACAGCTTTTGCAGTTCGGCTACATTGCCGCCACTTCAGCACTTGCATCACCCTTAACAAATTTAATGCTCCACCACAGTCACGAACAACTTGCGTCTTTCTGTCAACCACCTGTGTGAAGCAATCCCAGCCAATCGCTCAACACACTCACCTGTCGGTGACCGTTGGTGCGGCGGTAGTTCTTTCTCCTCTTCTTCTTGAACACTATCACCTTGGCGTCAAGAGCCTGGAAGCAAGCATCGGGTTTTAAAACAGCATGGAGGGACGATATTTCGAGACGCCTAAGATATGGAGAGTTCTTCACCCTCGTTTTCTTCGAACAGGCTTGATTGAGCATCGAGCCTAATAGAAAAGGGTAAAGACATCAGGTTGCTTAACCAACATGAGACATCCTAGGCAAATGCAATGAACCTTAAATTAGGTATAGGGTTCAAAAATTATCACCTCGATGCACGAACACTCAGAAACTGCATAGAACAAGAACAATGTCAAATACTCCTCAAACGTCGGAGTCAATGAGGCCTAGAATGTCAATGAGAATGCCAATCAGGCCTAGCGTGCCAATAAGGATACCATTTAGGGCAGGTGAGAGGAACTCACATGCTCTTCCACAAGGGCTGAAACAAACGCGCCTGGGAGAGTGGGCCGGCCGATGAGAGATTCGGAAGGAGAGCCAATCAGAAGCACCTTCTCCAAATGAATCTGACGGGTGGGATTGCCCGAAGATGGACCGAGAGGAGGCGATAAGTTGACAAGAACGAGTGACACATGAGTTGAGAAATTTTAGTAATTAATGAGAAGTTCGCTCCTGGTACGTTTATAACTGGAGTAACAGTAACTGGAGTTACAGTAACTGGAGTTACAGTAACTGGAGTAGCAGTAACTGGAGTAAGAGTGCGCCCTAAAACATAGTATGTTCCTCTCGTCTCCCACATTGCACACCACACTGCAGCACCATGCACTGCACCACCATGCACTGCACCACCATGCACTGCACCACCATGCACTGCACCACCATGCACTGCACCACCATGCACTGCACCACCATGCACTGCACCACCATGCACTGCACCACCATGCACTGCACCACCATGCACTGCACCACCATGCACTGCACCACCATGCACTGCACCACCATGCACTGCAGCACAGGGTCTGATGGTACAATGGTGAATGCCTCATGAGTTCCCAAGCGTAGGCTTGCAATCCCATCAGTACACCACATTCAATTCAGTGCATCGCACTGCACCACACGAGATGGTGATAGAAAGCATGAAGAACAATGTGCAGCACCCAACTGAACCCATGCCCACCAAACCATCGACACGAGTGAAGCTGAGTGATTCCACGAGAACAGCCTCTACCGCACAACACACTATGCACAGCACCGCACTGAATCTGACCATACCACACCACATCTCCTCTCACTGCTACACACTCATACGCATGCCACCAATGACATCTGCAAACCCATATCCACCACATTCTAAATACAGGCACCGCACTAAAAGACATACGCACTGCAATGAACCTGCAAGCACCACATTCAACCCATTCTCACCACGTCGTTAACATGGGCAAAGTTGAGCTTCTCCACGTAGATGGCATCTCCTGGCGTCACCTTGAACTGGTGTGAGCCCACCTGATTGGACAACCACATGCCACGTGTGCAAACGTGAAACGTCAGCAAATAGATGGTGTTTAAAAAAAGGGTGTGTACAGGGGGAGGGGTGGGGAAAAGAAGAGTTGGGTTGCAGAAGGGGGGTTAGCGGGGGGGCAAAGAGTGATGATGGCGGAACAAAGAGTGATGATGGCGGAACAAAGAGTGATGATGGCGGAACAAAGAGTGAGTGATAGCGTGAGAGAAAGAGTGAGAGAAAGAGTGAGAGAAAGAGTGAGTGATAGAGTGAGTGATAGAGTGAGGAACAAAGGAGTGTCTTGGAGTAATGGTGGCCGAAGGGGATGGGGAGGGAGGGGACAGGAAGGCTGGCAGGGGGGAGGAGGGGGGATGAAGGGAGAAGGGGGAAGAGGAGAGGAGACCGGGGTGAGCAGATGCAGGAGTGCTCATTGGTGGATAGAGGAATTGTGGTTCGCTAGGCTGTGATTGGCTAGGGTAGAGAATAAGCGGGCGGGAGGGAGGAAGAGAAAGGGGTGCGCGAAGGGGAGGGGAGGGGAGGGGAGGGGAGGGGAGGGGAGGGGAGGGGAGGGGGGGGGGGAGGGAGGGGGGAGGGAGAGAAGCAGGGGAAATGGGGGGTGGGGGAAGGGTGGAAAAGGGGTGGGGGCGCAGGGGGTAAGTGCGGGGAGGAAAGGGAGGCGAAGCTTGAAGGATGGGTTTCACTGCAACGGCTCTATTCCTCCCCTGCACGATTGGTTGAGGGGTGGTGGGAATTGCAACCTTGACTATCACCTGAACCACAGCGAACGCGTCTTGCTCCTTGATCTCTACCCCCGCCGCTTCGCAGACGTCACTCTCCTGCGCTGCTCCCCCCGCCGCTCCCCCTCTGAAGCGCGCCGATGCAGGCTCCGCCACGCGGTAGCCGATCTCCGCCGCGTTTTCCTTCCGCCATTGCCCCAGGAACGACAGCGCAAACCCTTCCCGCGAGGCACTGGGGGCACTTGCTTCCGCGACAGTAACATCCGCGGTATTAGCAACTGCACTAGCGTTGAGTTGGCCTGATGTGTGAATTTGGGCGACGAACGGCACCTGTGCGTGCAGCGAGCGAGGCCATAACGAGGAATTCGCATGAAGAGAAGGACTGGGCGGTGTGACAAGCGACGACAGCTTGACTGGCAATATTGAATGCGACAGTGCGTGCGACGGTGCGTGCGACGGTGCGTGCGACGGTGCTTGCGACGGTGCTTGCGATGGTGCTTGCGAACTTCTCTCCGACGGCAACTTTGCAGTGGCACCAGCAGTGTCTAGGCTCGGAAAAGATTGCGAAGCACCGTACAGCTGCGAAGGACATTGGTGAATATGTGACGCTGCGAAAACGTGACGAGATCGCGAAACGGAGAACCTCTGAAACGGTTCAAAGGATATCTGCGGATCTGCGGAGTCTCGGCATCGGCGCGTGTGGCTGCTGCAGGCACGGCCTGCCGCGATTACCGCTCGTCGCATGGCGGAACAGAACAGGGAGGCACAGGGGAGGAATTCGTGGAAGCGCGTTCAGAGTGTACTAAGCAGCAGCGGAAAAATAGGTTTGGGTGTGGTCGTACGCGGTAAAGTCGGTTGTATGAAAGCCTTGTTGAGTGAAACGCAAACCTTTTAAGTAAATTAAAAAGTTGATGAACCGCGCAATTCAGTTGTGTAGCGGGAACAGCACTATCGATGCAGCCGCAACTGTTGCTTGTCCTTGAGGGCGGGCGGGTCAGGCTGCTTCGTTATCAATTCAATGTTTATAGTGGTGAGTGACGGTTCAAAGCGGTGAAGAAAAAACAACGCTTTGGAATGCACAGCAACGTTTTTCACCGCATAAACTGCACCGAATCTGAATGCGCCCAATTTCCAGAATGGTGAACTCTGGCTGAGGGGACAATGCAATATGGAGGAGCGAAATGTGGTCCAGAGGCAAAATGTGAAAGAGATTTGCTCTAGGAACGGATTTCGAGACTGTCTATTGCAACGTGACTACAGAGCATCGTGACTACCTACAACGTTGTAAAGACCGCCATGGATTCTATCCCGGCAACTTCGGAGGTCGCAATGTCCCACAATTTCTTGCCTGATGGAGGTTCTAAGCTGACCACTGGTTACCTCTCGCGGAGCTATATAAGCAGATACCTTTTCCGTGTTCATACAGTGAACATTTATCATGCTTATAAACTCACGCTGTCCCCTAAGGTCCTTGCAACTCCAAGGGAAGAACAATGGCGACAATACTTTCTCAAGACTTCTTGTTTCAGGCACAGTTTCCGCAAAGACAAAACGACAGCAACTACCAAGGCGCGCGGCATTGCCAAGGCTCGGGATCGCCATGGTTGTTTCAAGGACTACAAAAAGCGTCACAAGCAGAAGTGGTGTTATGAGTTTAAGTCTCCAGTTCATCAGACACCTCTGCATTTTCAGACTTCCACCATGCCGCCTAAGAAGGTGACGAAGCCAGCTCCTAAGTTGACTCAAGAGCTTAGGGAGTCGCCTAAGACGGCTGACGGGACCTCCACTCCTAAGGAGGCTCATGGCTATGAGCTGCTGACTCCAGTGCAGCCTGCGTCTGAGTGTCCGGACCTGCTGGCTGCAGATCTGGCTCAGTCGTCATTGTCAGCCCGCTTGTCAGCGCTTAAGGTCAACGGTCTGAAGGACGAGGTTGAACGTCCTGCTGCTGTCAACGAGGCTGCGGCTCAGTCCACACCTCAGGAATCCCCGCTGCGATCTCCGGAAGAAGAGCTTCTTGATGAACCTGTGGTGGAGAATGATGACGAGGGTTACATTAGCGACGATTCAGACGAGGAAGCTGATCCGGAAGCATTGAGCATTATCGCTTCTAAGCTGAAATACACGCTTACTCTTCTTGTCCCTTTCAGGCACGAATCAGAAGTGCCTAGGACGGCTGATACTGTTGCAGCTCACCTTGATCATTGGAAAGAGGATCTATCTCCTGAAGCTCAAACTACTACGACGTGCCAGAAGTTGACACCGGCTTACCTCTCCAAGACGCGTTTCGACCGTCTGCAAGTTGTCTTCACCTCGGAAGATGACGCGTACTACGTCAGGCAGAGGAAGATTGAACACGTCACGCTCAAGGGGGAGACGTTGGAGCTGAGGTGGCAGTTTCCGGAGGACTCCACGTATGTTCACCTGCGAGCACTCCATCCGCAGGCGATCGAGGTGGTGTTGAAGGGTGTTCCGGCGGAGGTTACTCCTGATGCGATTTATAGCCTGTTGGTGGAAGTGAAACTGGTCAAGAGGGGGAAAACTGCATACAAGGAGGGTTTCGGTTTCCACCGTGTTCAGGATCCAGTCACGGGTCTGGATACTGACAAGATACGTGGTATGGTGGTTCAGCATGAGAACGATCGCTACCGCTGGCGTCACTTCATTGAGGAGCCGGCGAAGAGAGGGAAGAAGATCCTGTTGCACTTCCCTTCGGTCACGTGTGATTTCTGCAACGGCCATCACCTGACCCGCTACCACGACGACTACGTCACTGACCGTCAGGCAAACATTGCCAAATGGAACCTTACGGTTAAACGTATCCACGAGATCAACGGTATTGAGGAAGGCTCACATTTTTATCTTCGCGATTCACCTCATGTCTTACTTCCTTTGTACCGTACTGACTCACCTTTGTACTCACCTACGCGCAGCGGCCTCTCTGGTAGTCACGGACCGCCTGAAAGCCATCTTGAAGGATCCTGCGATGGTGCTGGTGTCGACCGGAGGTTCCCGCGAGGACTGGGTGTGCGTTCAAGATGCATGCGAGAAGGCCCACGGTACCAGTTTCGAGCTTGCTGCGGCGCATGTAGCGTCCTTCCGCCACAAGTCCAACCGCACCAAGGCAGGAGCTGCTACCCGTGCGAGCAAAGGTGCTCTCAACGTCGCGGCCCTGAGGAAGGAGTTTTTTCAAGTGACCGGCTGCGGAAGGAGGAGAGAGGCAGAGTCATCAGTAAGGAGAGATGAAGCGGTGTCCAGAATAAGGCTCACAGAGCTAGCTGTATCCGGATGTGCTGTGGCTGTATCGGCGGTAGTTGCGGTGTCTTGTTGTGTGCTGCTTTCAATGAGATCTTATGACCCGTGGATGCTGTGGGGTCTCCAGGCAGTGGTCAAATGAATACACCCAACACAATCAAGCTAAGCGCGCTCAATATCAACGGCTTGGGCAGCGCAGGGAAAAGGAATAAGTGCTGGAGGTGGCTAAGGAAAGCTGCAGATGTAGTGGTTCTGACCGACACAAGGCTAAGTGAAGACCACAATTTTTGGACACAACTGAGACCCACGGCGGTAGCCTCAGCATCGCCTACACATAAAGCTGGGGGGGTAGCGGTGCTGGTCTTCTCACCTGAGATACAGCTGCTGGGTGTGGTGAAGCATGCGTCAGGAAGGCTGATCAGTGTAGACTTGAAGTGGAAAGAGCTTGAGCTGCGGCTGGTGGCAGTGTATCTTCCGGCGCAGGCGGGGATACGCAATGTCTTTCTCAGGGAATGGTTTTTCCCCTTCTTAGACGGACTGCCTGCAGCAACGCACACAATGCTCATGGGGGATTTCAATCTGGTGGAAGATCCGGAGCTGGACAAAACCTCCAAGCTCGGGTCAATGGCTGAGAATCAGAGACTACTGAACGGTTGCACCGGGTTGGACTTGCATGATGCCTTCCGCACCCTTCACCCAGTGAAGAAGGAGTTCACCTTCTATTCAAGGTCGGCGAGGGTGAGCTCAAGAATCGATCGCGCGCTTGTGTCGGCGTCGATGCTGGGCTGCATAGGCGGAGCCTTCCACACCTCTATCCCGAAGGGGATCACGGACCACTGGTTTGCAATCTCAGTGAAGCTGACGTCGTCTGAGGGGAACGCGAAAGGTCCCGGCCTGTGGAGGCTGCCTGCAAAATTAGCGAAAAGTCAAGGAGTGAGAAACATTGCACAGGCGATTACACAACAGCAGGGTGCGGAAGATGAGTTCGTCAAAACGCTGAAGAAGCTGAATGCGGGTCTGCAGGAATATGCGAAAGGGGAAAGGAGGAGGGTGGCCCGTACAGTCGAACATCTGGAGGAAAAGGTGGCGGTGCTCAGGCAAGCCTTTATGAGTGACGCCGGGAATCTCGACCTGCAAGAGCAACTGGCAAGGAGTGAAGCACAACTGAAAGCGTACTGGGATGGGAAGAACGATTGGCTGCAGACGTTGGCAGGCATACAAGGGGAGTTGGAGGGAGAGACGGCGTCCAATTTCCTCACGGGGAAGATAGCTTCATGGAGAGCGAAGACAGAGATTCAGTCGCTTTCGGTGGGGGGAAAAACGGTGACGGAGGCGAAGGAGATCTTGCTGGCCGCATCAGATTTCTTCCGAGACCTCTTTGGAAAGGCCAAGGAGACGTCAGGGGAGAAGTGGCTAACTGACAAGAGCAAGCGGCTGGATGAGAAAGATAGGGAGCTGCTGCAGGCGAAATGGACGGAAAAGGAAGTCAGAAAGGCGCTAGCAGAGCTGCCCAAGGGGAAAACGCCAGGTCAAGACGGGCTACCGAGGGAGTTTTTTGAGAGCAACTAGGACATTCTGGGGCCAGGTTTGATGCGATTCATACATTCCTTTGAGCAGTCGGCGAAACTCCCGGAAAGCCTCACGACAGCAGTAACGATCCTGCTACACAAGAAGGGGGAAAAGGAGAGATTGGAAAATTACAGGCCGATCACGCTTTTGAACACGGTATACAAGATCGTGGCGAAGGTGCTGGCGAATCGGATGAAAAGAGTTCTACCGAAAGTGATCTCGGAGGACCAGCATGGGTTCGTACCTGGGAGGAAGCTGTCAGATGCAGTGGCGGCCGTAGCAGACGTGATTGACGCTGCGGTGACGGGGAAGGAGGACTGGTACCTGCTTTTGGTCGACTTTCAGAAGGCATACGATTCTGTGTCGCGTGAGTACCTCTTCAGCACCCTAAGAGATATGGGCTTCCCGGAAACGTTTGTCAGCTGGGCGGAAGGGCTCCACAATGAAGCGGGTACCAGACTTCTCCTCAACGGGTGGCTTGGAGAAAGGCTGGGGGTGGATGTCGGAGTAAGACAAGGGTGCCCGCTCGCGCCGTATCTGTTCATCTGCGCAGTGGAGCCTTTACGTCAGGAAATTAAGAAAAGGAAACTCGGGGTCAGGAAGCGCGGAAAGGGGGTGGTAGCATACCTGGGGTATGCAGACGACACTACGCTGGCGTTGAATGGGCTTGTGCAGGTGGAAAAGGCGGGAGAGGTGCTGAAAGATTTTGGGGAGGTGTCAGGCGTGCGCATCAACCTAGAGAAGACCGTGTTAATGCCGTTGGGGAGAAACCGCAGGCGGAAATTGGCGAAGCAGACAATTTTCAAGATGGCAGTACCTGACCAACCGGAGAGGTTGCTGGGGGTGTGGATCACCCCAAAAGGGGAGGCGGGACCGTCCTGGGATAAAGCTTTCGAGAGAGTCGGCAGCTCACTTAGCCGCTGGGCGGCCCAGCATCTCACAACAACAGCCTGGGTGGCGGTGATCAACTCATATGCGATGCCGGTGTTGCTCTTCCAGGCGCAGATATACCCGCCGCCGGTTGATTTCTGGACAAGAATCCGCAGACTATGCCACAATTTTGTGTCGGGAGGGAAATCGTCGCTGGACAGAAGGTTCGTTCTCTGGAGTTATGACCTGACATGCAGAAGAAGGAGAGACGGGGGATTGGGGGTCATCAGCCCGAGGGACCGGATGGACAGCATGGCGTTACAGTGCCTCAGCAAAGCCATTGCGGAAACAAGTGAGATCAAAAAATGGATGATGGAGCAAGCTGCGAAGATGCCGTTGGGCTGGGCGACTCTGTGGGCACATAAAAATATCGCCAGCCAATGGAAAGAGGGGGGTGAAAGGTGGAAAGCGTTCCTGCAAATCCTGTGGAAGAGGAACATCCCATTATTTGGAGAGCCGCAGTCCAGATGGGAGGTGGAGCAAGAGCATCTCTGGTTTAACAGGCGGATCCTCTTCAGAGGGAGCAGCCCGTTCGGCGCGCAGAGAGGCTCGGAGTGTTTGAAAGGATGAAGCTCGCCGATCTGCTCATCACAAATCTGGACGGGACAGTGGCGGTCAAGGATTTGGAGAGATTGAGTAGGGAGATGGGAGGCAAACCCCGGGCTAGATGGGCGCTCAAGGCATTTCAAGCCGCCCCGGTGGAATGGAGAAACACCTTGTTAAAACAACGGACAGCGGAGGAAACTGCTGAAGCAACAGACTTGGTTCGCACCGGAGGGGATGTAGTGAAGCAGCAGAACTACTGGAGAGTTCTACGCACAGAAGGGGAAAGGTTGGTGGTGAAAAGAGTGGAGGTGGTACGGGGCATCATAACACCGGCTCCGTACGCAAGCCCACTCGCCATCAGTGTGTCGCGGGTCACTCCGATCAAAACGGCAGACGAGAAAGTTTTGGGCCCGCTTGGCCATCATCTTACCAGGCTACGAGAGTCGGCGCTCTGCAAAGGGGGGGAGCTGGTGGCTCTGAAAACCCTAAGAAGAGCTATCAGGGAGCCAGCCGAGAAGCCGAAGCAGCAAGTCCGATGGGAGGAGGAGTATGGGGGGAAAATCAACTGGGCAAGGACTGTGGCTGCCCGGGACTCAATGGTGGTGCCATCCAGAGCAAGGGAGGTGCTCCTTCGGCTTCACAGCAAGAACCTACAGGTGGGCGCCAGGCTCCCCTTCTTGGGCAGCTTGGCGCGCTGCCCGCACTGTGGAGCAGAGGAGACAGTGGATCACTGCTTGATGCTTTGCCCGGAGGTGGGAAGAGTTGTCGGAAAGCTGCAAGCAGCTTTGGAAATTTTGGGAGTTAAAGAGGAGGCGAGAAGTGTGGGCGAGCTGCTGTTTCGGGACGCATGCACGAAATCCAGTTTCCCGGAGTTACCGCTGGTGGCCATCACTTTTCATCAACTTTGGCTGGAGAGGTGTGGAGCAGTTTTCAGACAGGAAAAGTTTCAATACAAGAGGGTGATCAGGAAAATTATGGCAAGTTTCATGCGACATGTGAAGGCATACAGCAAGTGGAAGGACATGCAACAGGGTAGGACAAAGACAGCGAGCAGCAGAAAGTGGGGGCACCTGGCTTTGGACGAGGCGAGGGCGCTGGGCAACCTGTTTGTAGGGGAGAAAGATATGACGTGGACAGAGAGCTTTCGTGGGATCTGGGAAGATCCGAGAGCACGCTTCAAACCGCCATAAAGAGGGTCTTGGGGGAGTAACTGCTAGTCTCGTTAGTAGTTAAGTCCCTCATGGAAACAGTTACGACAGTGGTTGTATGCTTATCTATAGTGTACTTCCAACCAAAAAAAAAAAAAGAGATTGTCTATTGCAAACGTGGTATTCGATCGCTCCCGTACTTCTGTCAGAAATAACGGACTGGAATGATGGACTAGCAAGGATTGTGAGTACAAATATGAAACCCTAATGTTGTGACCCCCCTATAGGCTAACCCACTACAGCCTACACAAATACAACAAGTATAATGTTTGACACACCCCCATAGGCAAAGTGGGGGAGACCTAGGGGTCACAAGACCAGTCAAGGCAAAGCAAGGCAACAACAAGCTCAGGGTGGATCTCAAGGACTCCACACAAATTCCGAGCACAAGCTAGTGGTCACAAGACCAGTTCACATGCAGGTTTATAACAGAGCAAGAGATACAGTGATCACAACCTAGCAAGAGTAAACATGCAGGTATAGATATATATAGTGATCACAGTACAAGCAAAGTCAAGAGGTAAGTAAGTGAGGTCCTTAGCAGTCTTGCACTGGCCGAAGTGCTCGCGCTCGTCTAGCGGCAGGGAGTTGCGAATAGCAAAGCGAGCGTGCGCATCACGGGTCTGCCACTGGGAACGCAGAGTGCTGTCAGCAGACGAGTCAGGGGCAGTGGCATGGCCTAGGGCATGGTCGTACAGTGAGATATCTTCCTTGGCAGTGAGCTGTAGGAACAGGTGCAGGTCATCGAGCCAGGTTTCAAACTTCACTGGACGGCCCTCGGCATCGAAAGCTAGAACTGGCGGACTAGCCATAGTGACAGTAGCAGTAGGAGAATAAACAGCAGTGAGATCGAGTGCCTCGCGGGCAGCGGCTGCAGAAGCGCACGGGCAGCAGCGGTGCACGGGGAACGGCAGTGCACGGGCAGCGGCGGCGCACGGGCAGCGGTGGCGCTCGGGAGGCAGCGGTGCGCAAGCAGCAGCGGAAGCAGCGGCGTACGAGCGGTTGCGGGCAGCGGGGCGTCTGCGAGCAGGCGACGAGCGGCTGCGGGCGGGCGGCCGCTGCGACGGCGGGCTGCGGGCCTGCGGGGCGTGCGCGAGCGGCAGCGGCTGCGGGCCTGCGGCGCACTAGCGGTAGCGGGCGACTCGCGGGCGGCGGCTGCAAAGGCGCACGGGCGGCAGCGGCTTATGCGCACGGGCAGCAGCGCCGACAGCGCACGGGCGGCTGCAGCAGCGAGCGGTGCGCAAGCAGCAGCGGCAGCAGCGCACGGGTGGCAGCGGCGTCGGTGCACGGGCGGCAGCGGCGTCGGCGGACGGGCGGCTGCGGGCAACGGGCGTGCGGCAGCTGCGGCGGCGAGCTGCGGGCCTGCGGGGCCACGGCGGGGTGTGCGCGAGCGGCGGACGAGCGGCTGCAGCAGCGGGCGTGTCAGCGAGGCGCACAGGCAGCGCGCGGGCAGCGTGCGGGGCCGCGCGTAAAGAAAACAGCCGCGCGCGTGCGGCTAGCGGGGCGCGCGCAGCGAAATCGACCGCGCGCGGGCGGGTAGCGGGATACGCGCGCTAAAAAAAAAGAAATCGAGTCGCGCGCGGGCGGCTGGCGGGCTGCGCGCGCGCGGTAGGTAGGAGGCGCACGAGGGCGCGTAGGCGCACGAGGCGCACAGTAGGTAGGTAGGTAACGGTGGGCCCTAAGAACGGTCCTAGCGAAGGACCTGCTCTGATACCATGTCAGAAATAACGGACTGGAATGATGGACTAGCAAGGATTGTGAGTACAAATATGAAACCCTAATGTTGTGACCCCCCTATAGGCTAACCCACTACAGCCTACACAAATACAACAAGTATAATGTTTGACAACTTCTACATTCATTCGAAAATTGCAGGAGTGGTCTTGGCAGGGGATTCCCACTGAATTTTTTTAACCCAGCACATTACCCGATTAGGGTATTTATTCCCCAAAAGTTAAAATTATTTAGCGATCACATAAATGTAAGCGACATAAATGCGTGGTCATATCATTGTGCCTCGCAAATATGCTCGGTCATGTAGGTCGTGGACGTGTGCCCGAGCGAAATAAAATATGATCGCGCACCCATATGATCGCGCCTATACATTTATATGACCGCGCATTTACATTTATATCGCTACACCTGACCAAAAAAAAAAACCCAATGGGAAAGCGATGCGACTCGGGGAGGCATCAACCCTAAACATTGCCCTTTCCCGTGTTTAGGGTTGATCCCTCCCGAAAATGCGTCCAGGTCCTTAGCGGTTATATTTTTTCTCATGCGCAGGATGAGACTAGTGCGATCCAAACATTTCGA